GAACCTGTTGTAGAACTCGCGGCGTAGATGCGTGAATGCCAATTCCAGATTGGGCACCGCCGCAATCTTCTGCCACTCCGTGAGCCAATTCCGTGTTGCAGTGTTGCTGTGTAACATGGTGAACAGACCGTTGATGGCGAGTGTCGGCGCGTCGTCGATGATGAACCGCTTCTTCCACAGCCGTGTCAGTTCCTCCCATGTGATCTCGTCCTTCAAGTCCGGTACGTCGACGTCGTGGGAGGTTGCAAGGTGGCTCAACCAGGTCTGGCATCCGCCCTTTGAGTTCAGGAACAGGGCGCCGATGTACGCATGCTTGTCTACGGGCAGAATCCTGAGTTGCGTTGTGAATGCTTCCCACCAGAGGACCGGATCCTGCTGCGTGCAGTCGTCGAACTTGTCCAATAGGAAAGTTGGCATCTTGTACATCTTCAGATTGTCATCCGCGTTCGTCGACTGCAGCTGCTGGACCTCGGCCTTCAAGGTATGCAGCTGACTGCTGATGGTGGTCAGCGCAGCGAAGGTGCTGATGTCGCCGCGGCTAGAGGATGCACTGCTGTAAGCCCCAGCAGGTGGTCCTGGTACAGCGTGTTCCAGGTCCAGCAACCGGGCATTGAGTGCCCGAGTTGCATCATTGTGGCTCTGCACTGTATGGCGGAGCTTTGCCAACTCCTGATGCTGTTGCCTCAGGTTCTGGTACTGTTTCTCCAACTCGGACCGTTGGTAGTTGCAAGCATACAACAACCGTGTCACGAGTTTGGAGAGAAACTCCTTATGCTGCTCTTCTGGTGTTCCATCGTCGCCGTTTGGTTCGAAGTGCCAGAACTTGAGTTTTTCGATGCTTGTGGCTTCATGCCGCTGCAGCAGATCCTGGGCTTCCTTGCGCCGAGCCTGGGCATCTGCGTCTGCTTCGGCCTGTAGCCGCAGCTTCTATGCTGTTGCCGCTTCTTCAGCCTGTAGCTGGGCAGCCTTGACTGCCAGCTGGCGTTGTTCCTCAGCCTCGATTGCAACGAGCTGAGCCTGGAAGCGCTTTTTGTAGTCGGCAATGGGCTCATTGGCCAGTTGGCCTGGCAGGCCCGTCATGTTGCTGATGTGGCACTGTGTCTGACGTGGCAGTGTCGGATGTGGCACTGTGTCTGACGTCGCACTGCTGACGTGGCACTGCTTATGTGGCAGTGTCTGACGTGGCACTGCTGATGTGGCACTGCTTACGTGGCACTGTGTCTGACGTGGCACTGGTGTCGTGGCACTGCTAACGTGGCACTGTCTGATGTGGCACTGATGACGTTGCACTGCTTACGTGGCACTGTGTCTGACATGGCACTGCTGATGTGGCACTGCTGACGTGGCACTGCTTACGTGGCACTGTACCAACCCGGAAATGCATGCAAAGGTGTGGGTAGGAGGGAAAACGTAGGTAACCAAACAACCCAACAATACTTCCCTCCGGCCCTAATCAACAGATAAAAAATAAAATAAAAAATGAAAGAGGACTACTACCTTTTTTTTGTATATCTGTCGATCTATTATGAGTAGGACATGTCAGAAGAGTACTATGAACGAGATCTAGGCTAGGTTCCGCAAAGTTTCGGCTTTTACAAACTGCGATCTTGAAAAAAAAAAATTTGCGAAATGGAGAACAGATGCGATTTTCAGAAAAGAACGAAATCCAGTTTCTGAGAATACGGCAACCTCCGAATATGCCTAACGCAATATTGGTAGGCTTCGCAAGATTTCGGTTTTCAAAAAAATTTGCGAGATAGAATGGAAATGAAATTTTCAGATATTTGTTACGTAAAAACGAACTAGTCCTACTTGCGTTACTAATGAGTGATCACTAGATCGCAAGCTGGCTACTTGATTGAGCGGGTCCTCTGAATGAGAGGTCCACTCCGATACCAAACTGTTGCATATTGTAACGTGCAGACCAGAACAAGAACCGACCTCTCAATGCGAAGTACAAGATAATACAGCGGAAGACATAGATACGAATGATCCGAACAATCAATATTGCAATGCAGCCCTGAACACACATCATCATCATTGTATCTGGTGTGAAGGGGGTCTGGCGCTTCACACAAGAAGACTGCGCCAGCCCCAACCATACACAGACGAAGAAGGAGGGGTTAGACGAAAGAGGAGGGAAGATGGGAATGCCGTCAACACCAAGTCTCGGTACAGGCCCAAATAGTCCCTTGTCGAAATGTCTGAATCCCAATGTCCAGTCTGGATCCAATGTC